TCTTTTGGTTTTATGTTTATGTTTATGCATTTTTAAGGGTAAAAAAGACGGTTCTGAAAGCTTTGAGAAACAAATCATGAGAGGGATGACTCAGCCAAATGGTTTCAAACAGCCTGGATCAACACAGGTTCATTTATGGGCCATGCTAAAGAGATTTTGATTAAATATTTAACGTGTTCACTTCATAAACGTTGAATTTCTTGGTGGATTTCTTTGCTGAGTTACTTCTACAGAAACGGCTAAAACAGGGGTGTCAAACTCTGGGTGTAATTATATTTGGCCCAAAGACAATACAAAATTGTATTATACTGTACATTAACAGCTCGGACTACAACTCCCATAATGCCCTGCTGCTGTCAAAAATGACCAAAAGAAAGGCAGGAACCAGGAGCTTTCTGGACAAGATCATTTCATTTAGATATTTAATTCAGAAGGCTGCCAATAGAAAAATGTTTTAACATTTTATTTCATAGTTGAATGCCATTGATGTGTTTTTTTTATTTATAATTGGATTTTGCATGTCTCCACTATTAAGTTATATATAATGTAATAAGAGTTGCTTGTTCCATATTCAATGTTTTTTTTTACTTTATTGCCTTAAATGCGGGTTATCAAGCATTTAGCATCATAGAGGGGAACAAAAAGAGGCAAACATAAAAGATAAATAAACACAAGAAAAAGAAAAAATAATTAAAATAAAATAAAATAATAAAATAAAAAAACAATAAAAATAATAATAAAAATAAAACAGAAATTGGCTCTAGTCTGTCACACTGTAGTGTTAAAGCAAAATTTGGAAAATGAAAAGAAGGCTGCCAATAGAAAAATGTTTTAAAATTTTATTTCATAAATGAATGCCATTGATGTCTTTTTTTATTTGAAATGTGATTTTGCATGTCTCCACTATTAAGTTATAAATAATGTAATAAGAGTTGCTTGTTCCATGTTCAACGTTTTTATTTTTATTTTCACTTTATTGCCTTAAATGCGGGTTATCAAGCATTTATCATCATAGAGGGGAACAGAAAGAGGCAAACATAAAAGATAAATAAACACAATAAAAAGAAAAAATAATTAAAATAAAATAAAATAAAATAGTAAAATAAAAAAACAATAAAAATAATAATAAAAATAAAACAGAAATTGGCTCTAGTCTGGCACACTGTAGAGGGTACAGCACATATTCCATATTCAATGTTAAAGCAAAATTTGGAAAATGAAAAGAAGGCTGCCAATAGAAAAATGTTTTAAAATCTTATTTCATAAATGAATGCCATTGATGTGTTTTTTTTATTTGAAATGTGATTTTGCATGTCTCCACTATTAAGTTATAAATAATGTAATAAGAGTTGCTTGTTCCACATTCAATGTTAAAGCTAAATTGGTTTTGTTTATATATTAAAAGGTTCATTTGTTCAATCTTGGCTCACGGCTTTGTTCAGGTTTTACATTTTATCCCTCTGTGTTTTTTGAGTTTGACACCCCTGGGCTACGTGATTTAGCTCATAGCTCATAGGTCAAAGGTCATAAAGCTGAAAGTCTCCCGGTTTGAGTCCAGCTCACCAGAGAGGGAAACAGGGCTTTTACAACAACTTTATACCTCCCGTCTCAGAAATAAACCAAAGCCTCAGAAAACAACTCAGAGCTCATCCAAACAAACAAAAACAGATTAAATAAACATCCTAATCATGGATAGAAAACTACATTATGCTGCTACAAGGACTCAGTATTCATCAGAACTAAGGACAACAGATACAGAGGCTCTGTTATCTGCTATTTTCCTCTTTTTCTCCCCGAAAACTGGCCTCTCCCTCCATTTCAGGCTGAGTTTTAATCTATTATTTTGGCTTTATAGGTTTGGAATAAAAGGGATAAACCCAAACAGACGATAAGAGGTGAAACCTTAGACATGGAGTGTTTCCTATTTTCAGAAATATGGAGTAACTGGAGAAAAAGAGGGCGTTTTTTTGCATTTAATCTTTAAACTAAACAGTGTAAATGAAAGTGTTTGAAACTAGTGATAACTTTAAACATTATTCACTAGCTTTCTGCTTTAATTTGATCACAAATAGGTTTATTTGCATGTTTAGTAGAACAGTTTAAAACATTAATATTCATTCTCAGTCACGACCAGCTTGACTGACAACGGTCAAATAAAGATTTGCAGACAGTCGGTTTGCTGTTTTCCAAATCAAAATACGCAAAAATACAATTTCAAAGCCGGGATAAAGTCCAGGTCTTCCTGGGAAACTAAACGATTACGAGTGATTAGAAACGATGCGTTCAAAGAGGAAACAGGGACGATTCCTTTAAAGTTAAGAGGGATTTCTCCTTCTTTTGATCATAAAACTCTGGGATTGAATCTGGGATCCTTTAAACATGTAACAGCTCACTCCAAATAAAGGGCTCTTTTTATACAGGAAAAAAATCACAAACAAGTGCAAATAATTTTTAAAAAGTACACTAATTTGCTAATAATTATTTCTGAGGTGGATTATGGAAGACAGGAGTTTGGTCCATTATCACCTTTAACTGTTGTACTTTTAATTTCTTCCATAGAGAGAAGGGCTACAAAGGAAAATGGTGGAAAGAAAAGGTTCCCAATAGGACAAATAAAACCTAAAATATGCTTCTGACAGAAGAAGGTGAAAATCTCTAAATGCCAAGAAGTTAAAGATGTCCGATAGTGACTCATTGTGACTAAAAACGTATTTGAAAACAACTGTAGTCCCAGTTTAGTGGACATGTAGTCAGATAAATTCCTGATAGTCATCGTTCCTCCTTATCATCACTTAGAGGTTTACAGGAAGAAGGAATTAAGATAGGAGTGTTTTTTTTAGAGACCACAGTCGATATTTTGGGGAAAGCTGGTCACCTGGGAGTTTTCCAGCTTACGGAGTCCAACAGAGCCAAAACCCAGTTATTTCTCTTGGCCCAAACACTCACAAACGGGGTTATTTCTAACCTCTGAAGACTAACGAGATCCAAGCTAAACATCTACAAGATCAAACTACCAGCGGACGTCTTGTAGGAGACCAGAAAAACCATGAGACCGAGTCCCAAAGCTGCCTAAAATACAGCAACGAGCCAGAAAAACACAGCAGAACGCACAAAAAAACTGATCTGTGCAAACTCCTCCAATAAAAACAGCCGGAGACTCAAACTGGACACGTCTGGGAGAGCCAATCAGAAACTCTGACCAACAGAAACCAACAGAAACCAACAGAAACTAACAGAAACTAACAGAAACTAACAGAAACTAATAGAAACCAACAAAAAACCAACAGAAACTAACAGAAACCATCAGAAACCAACAGAAACTAACAAAAACCAACAGAAACCAACAGAAAAACCAACAGAAACCAACAAAAACCAACAGAAACTAACAGAAACCAACAGAAACCAACATAAACTAACAGAAACTAACAGAAACCAACAGAAACTAACAGAAACCAACAGAAACCAACAGAAACCAACGGAAACCAACGGAAACCAACAGAAACCAACAGAAACCAACAGAAACCAACAGAAACCAACAAAAAACAGACATAAACTAACAAAAACTAACAGAAACCAACAGAAACTAACAGAACCAACAGAAACTAACAGAAACTAACAGAAACTAACAGAAACAGAGTTTGGAAGGAAAGGCGTCTATTTGCAGACCTCCCAGGAAGCTCGAACAAAACCAGGTTGCTTTGATCTTTTGGGATCTAAAACCCGATTGGCATCTCGAGTTAAATGTAGATTTGGGTCAGATTCAGTCTAAGTCTCAGAGTCAGTCACTGGTTCCATCGTTTCCTTAAGCACAGCAAAGATGGTTCTCCAGGAACGCATTTAGATCTGTTCCATACGGGGATTAGGAGAACTAGGACCCGGGAGGAGAACCAGGACCCGGGAGGAGAACCAGGACCCGGGAGGAGAACCAGGACCCGGGAGGAGAACCAGGACCCGGGAGGAGAACCATGACCCGGGAGGAGAACCAGGACCCGGGAGGAGA